GCCACGGCGTTCTGGCTGGGCCCAGGTGCGGAAAGGAGAGTCCCGGGGGCCCCAGGGCTTGGAGCCACCTGGGAAATAAATCTTCGAGTTTCTTAGGCAGAGCCGTCAGGAAGAGGATGCTGACTGGCCCCCCTCACAGCCTGGTGCTGATTTAAAGCCAATGCCAAGTCCTTCCCATCCATCAGGGCTGCCCCGAGGAATAAGGTAAGTCTCCTGACTCACTCATTCCGAGTTCTGAGATCAGTACAAGGTCACTTTCAAGTTCACCCAGAATATTTTAGAAATAGAAAGAACCAAAACATCACAGGTCAGAGACCATCCCTCCCCCAGTTCCAAGGAAAACACTCATAAATTTGGAGCACTGAGTGTAACTACAAAATGTCTTAAAAGATGATACTGGGGATTTTACTAGCACAAATCGTCCAAGCAGCAGCTTAGTTTTTATAATAGCATCTTTTTCTCTACCTATAAATATTCTATCCCCTTCTACTGGTATATCTGTCTGTATTAAGCTGGACATTTTTTTAAACTTTTCTATTCTTTTTTTTAAGTTTTTTTTTTTTAATTGATTTTTCGGGAGAGAGGAAGGGAGAGGAAGAAACATCGACTTGCTGCCTTCTGCAAGCCCCCTACTGGGGATCAAACACACAAGTATATGCCCCCGGACTGGGAATCAAACTGGCCACCTTTTGGTGCACGAGACCATGCCCAGCCAACTGAGCTACACCGGCCACGGCAAGCTAGACAATTTCTGTGGACAAAAACTCCACAGCATGTTTCACGTTGTATTTCCCCTTTTATATCCATGGGCAGTTACATCACCATGGTGATCAAGCACTAAGAAACTGCTCCCCGCAGTGAGTCTGGCTTGCCCTTGATAACCAATGACCGCCTCATTGCTAAATCCAAGGGCGACTTCTCCCTCATCACTCTCTAATTTTTATGTTACAATGAATGCCAGTAACTACTTTTCTGCTTCTTAGAACTTTTTCTTTTCCTGAGCACCCATGACTCAACACTCTCTCGGTTCTCCCACTTCACCAGAGACTCAAGTCAGCTTCCTTTACCAAATCTACTTCCTCCTCCTGCTGTCAAAATGATCCCAAGGTTCTCTCTCTTCTCTCCCATGACAGTCTCTTCCTACCTGATCTAACGTATCCCCATGGCTTCCCTGTCTCTGTGTCTAGCCCTGGCCTCTCACAAGCTCTCGGTGTGCATCTCAGTTGAATACAGGACAGCTCCACAAGGATGGACCAATGGACCAAACACATCAGTATACTTTCCCCAAAGTCTCCATCATCCTGTCACTCACACACACACACACACACACACACACACACACACACACACACTGGAACCAGACATTGTGTTAAATGCTTCACATACATCAACTATTTTCTTTTTCTTTTTCTTTTTTTACATTTTTTTATTAAATTATTATCTGTGTACATATTTTAACATTGCCCCCCCCCATACATATCCTCCCTCCCCAGAGTTCTGCGTCCATTGGTTGTACTTATATGCATGTATACAAGTCCTTCGGTTGATCTATTATCTCCCCCAGATCTCCCTACCCTCTCTGCTGTAATCTGACAGTCTGCTTGTTGCTTTACTGTCTCTAAATCTATCTTTTGGTTCATCAGTTTATTTTTATTTTTTTTTTTTTAAATTTATTTATTTATTTTTTTTTTTTACATATTTTAATGATTTTTTTTTGCCCCCCTCCCTCCCTCCCCCATAGCCCCTCCCTCCCCATAGTTTTATGTCCATTGGTTGTACTTATATGCATGTATACAAGTCCTTCGGTTGATCTATTATCTCCCCCAGATCTCCCTACCCTCTCTGCTGTAATCTGACAGTCTGCTTGTTGCTTTACTGTCTCTAAATCTATCTTTTGGTTCATCAGTTTATAATGTTCTTTATTATCCATAAATGAGTGAGGTCATGTGGTGTTTCTCTTTCATTGACTGGCTTATTTCACTCAGCATGATGTTCTCCAATTCCATCCAGGTTGCTGCAAATGATGAGAATTCCTTCTTTTTTATGGCAGCATAATATTCCATTGTGTAAATGTACCTTAGTTTTTGGATCCAATCATCTGCTGATGGGCACGTAGGCTGTTTCCAAATCCTAGCTATTGTAGATTGTGCTGCTATGAACATAGGGGTGCATATATCCTTTCTGATTGGTGTTTCTAGTTTCTTGGGATATATTCCTAGGAGTGGGATTACTGGGTCAAATGGGAGTTCCATTTTCAGTTTTTTGAGGAAACGCCACACTGTTCTCCACAGTGGACATCAACTATTTTCATCCTCACAGAGTCCAGTGAAGAGAGTAGTTATCCTCATTTTAAAGATGGGGAAACCCAAACAGAGAGATCACGTAGCTACAAAGTGGTAGGGTCAGGATTCAAACCAGGAAGTCTGGTTTCAAAGACCATGCTTTAATCATCTACTCTATATTACTTCCTAACCGCCCAGGCCTGACACTTGTCTGTATTTTCGCACGGCAAGGCACTATGAGCTCGGTTCTGTGACCTCCTATCTGGCCTTCTTTTCCATTCTCACTGATGCTGCTGTCTTTTAGTCCTTAACACCACTTACCTGCTCTTAACTTCCCATCTCCCACCTCTCCCTATTTCATCTGTTTACCCGTCACTCCCTGCTCAAAAATCAGTGGCTCACAGCTCCCCACTGCCTACAGGATAAAATCAAAATGACACGCAGCCTTATCTACTACCACGCTTCTTCACAGCTGTCATGTTTCACTTAGAAAGGATATATGCTTAGCCCAGTGGTCGGCAAACTCACTAGTCAACAGAACGGCAAACAGTGGTGGCTCGAGAGCTGCGGTTTGCCGAACACTACCCCAGCCTGTGGGGCTTAGTGTATAGAGCATCAGCCTGCGGACTGAAGGGTCCCGGGTTCGATTCCAGTCAAGGGCTCATGCCTGGGTGCAGGATCGATCCCCAGTGGGGGGTGTGCAGGAGGCAGCCGATCCGTGATTCTCTCTCATCATTGATGTTTCTCTCTCCCCCTCTCCTTTCCGGTCAATAAAAATATATTTTTAAAAAGAAGAAGGAAGAAGGAAGAAGGAAGAAGGAAGAAGGAAGAAGGAAGAAGAAGAAGAAGAAGAAGAAGAAGAAGAAGAAGAAGAAGAAGAAGAAGAAGAAGGAGAAATTATATGTATCATTCTTCCTGACTGCCCAACATCTAGAACCCTTTGTACGTCTGGGGAATCCCATACCTCCCAAAGTAGGAGTAAAAATGTAAATGTACCCTTTCCAAGCCTCCTTTGCAGCTAGCTTATGGTACGGGACTAGGCCACACCAATTAGATGCATCATCCAAATGTGGACTGGAGAGTGGGCACCATAAAGAACTCTCCTTGATAACAAGAAGGCGGCAGGAAGACCTGAGTCCCTGGGCAGCACCGTGTGCAGGGCCAGAGGTGTTCCTGGTGCAAGTGCAACACCTGCCCTCTGGTGGCAGCAGCCTCTGCCTTGTGGTTCCTCACTGGAGCAACCACAATAGTTCCCGCCACCACACCTGGTTCTCAGGCCATCGTGGCAATTCTGTGAACTACCCAACATCCTTTCTACGCATTTATTTTTGCCTTAAATCATCTAGTCCTGGTGTTTCCAAGTAAGCATCCTTCACGCATCTCAGAACATGCCCTCCACAAGGATGGACCAATGGACCAAACATATCAGTATACTTTCCCCAAAGTCTCCATCATCCTGTCACTCAAACATCTCAGAACATGCCCTCCACAAGGATGGACCAATAAGTTCGCCCACTGTGTTTCTTCCATCCAGAATTCTTCTCTGTTAGTCAAAACTCTTCCACTCTTTTTAAGACCCAGTACTAGTACTGTTTTCCCCATAGATATAATGGCTAATACTTTTTTTTAATATATTTTATTGATTTTTTTTATAGAGAGGAAGGGAGAGAGATAGAGAGTTGGAAACATTGGTGAGAGAGAAACATCGATCGGCTGCCTCCTGCACACTCCCTACTGGGGATGTGTCCACAACCAAGGTACTTGCCCTTGACCGGAATCGAACCCAGAACCTCTCAGTCCACAGGCCGATGCTCTATCCCCTGAGCCAAACCAGTTTCGGCTAATGGCTAATACTTTAATGAGCACTAAGGACCCAGGCATTCTTCTCATTTGATCTTCAAAAGTACAGTGGGAGGTAAATACTTGCATTAGCACCATTTTACAGTTGAGGAAAATGCAACAAAAACTAATGAAGAAAATTGTCCTTTATTGATATCAGAGAGAGGGAGAAAGGGATAGAAACATCAGTGATGAGAGAGAATCATTGATCAGCCATCTCCTGCACAACCCCTACTAGGAATGGGGCCTACAATTCAGCATGTGCGCTGACCAGGAATCAAACTGGGACCTCCTTGTTCATAGATCAACACTCAACCCCTGAGCTACACCGGCTGGGCTGCAGATATAATTTTTAAAGGGCAGTAGATATCACAAAACTTTGAAGCATAGGAAAAATAACTTAGAACAAAACAAGCAATGTCCTTTTTCATCTGCTTTGGAAAGTACAGTTTAAAAGTCACCATCCTGGACTTTGAAACAAGAATAGTATTTTCTTACATAAAACAGCCTTGAAAACATTCTGGATCCTATATGGTGCCCATATAGCATCACTTGACCAGGTCTTATGGTTTTATCAATATGCAGGTAGACAACAAATTATGATGTAACTTGTACTGAATAAATAGTCTTTGGACATGAGGATACATCATTGGTCTATAATTACAATTCAGAGAGGAAGAGCCCCACCCTGTCTGCACGTCTCCAGGGATATGACGTGGCCCCAAGCCACTTAAGTTTTGGACTTTTTTTAGATTCAAGCCGTTCTGCCTCTGATACAAAAAGTCTAGTCCAATACTTCATGTGTACAGTGACTTCACACCAACACTTCCAAGTTCGATCTATTAAATGTGAAGAAGATGGCCCAGAGCCACACCTTACCTCTTCCGGCACAATAATTAATGGATACTTGTCCTCAGATAAAAAGTTGAAAATAACCCACACTTTAAATGAATCTTCTTCCTCGATGAGCAGGGGATTCTTTGTGAGGTTTTTTTTGACACAGAGGGTCCAACACATCCTATTTAATTCAAGCTTATCAAAGTTGTCTTGGACCTAAAAAGGAATAAGGAAAAATTCTAATGAACCAATCCAAAATAAGAAATACAATATAAGCCCAGTAAAACAGAAAAACAAAGCCTACCATTTTCATCAATACAATTAACCAATACATTTTCAGTGTATATGCTTAGGTACCACATTTTTAAAGGCTCTAATAAGAATGTTATATTAAGCCCAGCTGGCATGGCTCAGTGTTGAGTGTCGACCTATGAACCAGGAAGTCAAGGTTTGATTCCTGGTCAGGGCACATGCCTGGGTTATGGGCTTGATCCCCAGTGGGGGGCGTGCAGGAGGCAGCCAATCAATGATTCTCTGTCATCATTAATGTTTCTCTTTCTCTCTCTCTCTCTCCCTCTCTCTTTTCCTCTCTCAAATCAACAAATATTTATTTTAAAAAACAGACTCTAAATCAAAGTTTAAATGCTGTCTGTTAATACTATGCCGAATTGCTTGTAGAACTCAGTAGATGGACATCTATACGATGAAAGACGTCGCCATAGGATTCTTTTCAAAGGTCACCACCATCAATTCTATCCACCTGCACCCCTAAAAAAACATTACATGAAAGACATCCCACATGGGAACTGACAGGCGCACAAAAGCACACAGCCTTGCTCTGAGGAACCAGAGATTCCATGTGGATTCTGTGGTGAATTGTAGGGTTCCTGGCGTCGAGGGACTACATTTATGGCTGGAAGAGCAAACACAGAACAAATCACAAGGAGCTCCATCATTTTTTTTTTTAATAGCCTATAGGAAACCGCGAGTGGAAGGATTTTGGAGCAGAGAATGAGCAGGTCATCTGCAGCCCAGATTACTGCTCTGCAGAAAAGGCAGTGTTTAAGGTGACCCTTGGAGCATACTGAAGAGTTCAAGGTAAAGTATTCCAAAGGATGGAAAGGAAATGGCCTCAGCAAAAGCACACCCTCCCTGTTTGGGAAACAGCCACAGGATGAAGGAAGGACACAGAAACAAGGGCAAAGGAAAGACAAAGTTTTCCGCTTGGAAAGTTCTGGTAAGACATTAGAATCTAATGATTAGATGGAGGTGTCCAAAGACCATCGAAGAGGTGAAAGTAACCTAAGAGGAGAGGCAGATCTGTGCATCAACTGCCCGCCAACGATGACTGAAACCACGATGGCCAATGGCACCCCTCAGAGAGACCACAAAGGGAGAAGGGAGAGGGGATCGGAAACAAGACGGCAGGGAACACGCACATCGGTAAAGCCAGAGGAGGAAGAGGAATCAGGATGACTGAAAAAGCACTCAGAGTGGCAGGAGAACCACAAAGATATGAGAGCTGGGTGCGGAAACAGTTGAGAAGGTTTGATAAGGAGTGTGAAATGCTGCAGAGAGACTGAGGAGCTGTTTAAAAGACCACAGATTCTGCAAGCACTTCGATGATCTCTAGTTACTTTCAAGACAGCTGGAAAGTGCGGGTAAAAGATTGCAGTGGAATCAGAAACCAAGAAAATTCTCCATAAATTAGTTTCATTGGAATGAATATCCAAACAATCTTGAGAAGAAGAACAAAGCTAGAGGACTTGCACTTCCTAATTTCAAAACATATTACACAGCCACGGTAATCAAAACAGTTTGCTACTGGCATAAAAACAGACCGACTGACAAAACAGAAAAGAGAGCCCAGCAATCAGCCTTCCTGTGTGCGGCCAGCGACCTTTAACAAGGGAGGGAAGGAGGGTCCTTCTTCAGCAAAGGGTGTTGGAAGAAAACATCCGCATGCAAGGGAATGAAGATGGACCCTTACCCCCTAGATCATATGCAAAAAATAATTCAAAAACGGAGCCAAGATATCAATGGGAGACCTGAAACTCCTAGGAGAAAGCATAGGGAGAGAGCTTCCTGACATCGGAACGGACAGTGGTTTCCTGGATAGGACACGAGAGACACAGGCAACAAAAGCACGGACGGGCAAATAAAACTACACCGAACCAAAGCCATCCGCAGGTGAGCCAGTCCTTGCCATCAGAGAACTTACACTCTAGGTGGAAACAATACAGCAATTGCACAACCACCTACGTGGTTAAACACCGTGGTACTGCTCTGGAGGAAAAGCAGAGGATGCCTGAGAACACACGAAGGCAGAACTGGCTAGCTCTGGGAAGGGTGAGGTGCCACCCACAGAAACCTCCCTGGGGAAGTGACAATCAAGCGAAGACCTAGAGGGATGAACAGGAATCGACTGCATGTTGTGGGCACAGGAAGCCTGACAGCAGAGGAGACGGCATGTCTGAAGGGACTGTGGCAGGAGGGGTCTTTGTAATCTGAGGACAGAGAGGAGGCCGACACGGCGGCAGTGCAGGGAGCAGGGGGGAGAGGAGAACATGGCGGCTGGGGAGGCTGCCACGATCAGGATGCCGGGCTCTGAGATCATCCCTACGTTCCTTCTCACTATACAGGGCCCAGGAATCTACGGCTCCATACGCCATCTCATAAGATTACAAACTGCTCCCAAATCCCAGTTTGTATCACACACATTAAACTGACAGTCTCACATCTTTTGGAAAACTAATAACGGCTGTCACTGGTCTCAGGGTGTCCAAATGGAAGGTAATTTCCTAGAAAAGAATGTGTAGAGTTGTTTTCTGTGTTGTTGTTTTCTTTAACACTAAGACTATGTAACGGCTTGTCTCATAGAGGACAGGCACCGGATAGGTTAGACTATATTGCTATAGCAAGCTCAAATTGGGTCTGAGTACTTCTTATTTTTAACATATGTTTGCTTTTCCCATACATATGAGTGCATATGAACCCATACATATGAATAAGATAGCAGTTATGGGCCTCAATTCTGACTCAAAGTACTAAAAGTATTTACAAAACTAAACTCATGTTTCTAAATTAAAATTTTCATACCAACTAGCAACACTTCTTTTTTAAAATATATTTTTATTAATTTCAGAGAGGAAGGAAAAGGGGTAGGGGGAGAGCTAGAAACTTCAATGATGAGAGATAATCACTGATTGGCTGCCTCCCTGCGCCCTCCCCCTGGGGATCAAGCCCACAGCCTGGGCATGTGCCCTTGACTGGAATCAAACATGGGACTCTTTAGTCTACAGGTTGATGCTCTAGCCATTAAGCCAAAAGAGCTAGTGCTAGTAACACTTCTTGAAAACATTTAGCATAGTGCCTGATACACAGTGGACTAAATAAATGTTAGCATATTTATACTAATGTTTTCAAAAATATTTTGATGACATGGAAAAGGAAATATTAATGTTAAGTGTTCAATTTGATCCCAGCTTGAAAAAAATCATACAAATGTATTTTTTAAAATAAAGACTCAAAATAAACAGATAAAAATTTTTTAAGTGACTGCCTCAAGATGGTAAGGGTAATACTTTCTGAATACGTTCCTTTGTTAAAAAGTTTACAACCACGAACCTGTATTTACAATACAGAAAACCATTTCACAATTAAGAAAACCACTTTAGCCGAAACCGATTTGGCTCAGTGGATAGAGCATGGGTCTGCAGACTGAAAGGTCCCAGATTCGATTCCGGTCAAGCCATGTACATTGGTTGTAGGCACATTCCTGGTAGGGGTTGTGCAGAAGGCAGCTGGTCGATGTCTCTCTCTTATCGATGTTTCTAGCTCTCTATCCCTCTCCCTTCCTCTCTGTGAAAAATCAATTTATTTATATATATATATATATATATATATATATATATATATATATTTTTTTTTTTTTTTTTTTTTTTAAAGAAAACCATTTTAAAAACAGTATTTCACATTAATCGTCACGGAGATACAAATCAAAACACAGTAAGATACCACACCTCACACCCACAAGGATGGCAAAAACCAAAAAGACAGAAAATGACAAGTGTTGGTAACGGTATGAAACAGCTGGAACCCTCACATATTGCTGGAAGGAAAGTAAACCTCACAGCAGCTTTGGAAAACAGCATGGCAATCCCTCAAAAGGTTAAACATGTAGTTGCCATATGACCCAGCAATTCCCTTCCTAAGTATGTACCCGAGGGAACTGAAAACACCCATCCACACAAAAATATGAACAGGAGTGCTCAACGCAACAAATTCATAGGAACCAAAAAGTGGAAATAACTCCAATGCCCATCACCTGCTGAGTGTACAAACAAAATGTGGTACGTCCACAGTGGAATATTATTCACACTGTTATGGGCTACAGTGTGACCACATCCTCTGTGATTCCATTCACAGGGTGTGAGTCCAGGATTAGCAAATCCACAGACAGGAAGGAGATTAGTGGTTGCCTAGGGCTCTGGGGAAGGAGAGAGTGAATGCTAAAGGGTTTGTTTGTTTGTTTGTTTGTTTGTGGGGGGGTTGTTTTGTTTTTTTTTGTTTTGTTTTTTTGAGGGAGAACAAGTAGTTCAAAATTGATTGTGGTGACGGTTGCACAAAAATGTGACTATATTAAAAACCACTGATTGTACACTGTAAAAACTTATATTGTACGTTATGTGAACCATATATCAATAAAGCCATTATTTCAAAAACAAAAACAGCTATTTCTTTAAACTACATCACCCTTAGATTTATACTGCTGGCCAAAGTGTCCAATGGCGTAAGCTCATCCACAGTCCTCAACAGAGGACCCCTTCGTTCACCCAGAAGTTCTGAGGACACTTAGAATGTTGAAGGCATATCCATTCAACTAATAGATCTCTGAAAGCTCATTTTATGCAAGAGCTACCACTGACATGAACTCGAGCATCTGATAAGAGAGTACAAATGTCAGCCTAGGAAAACAGAATGCAGAGGCTACTGGCCTCAAGAGAAGGGATGCTATATTGAACTAAAATATTTCTCCTTGTGTCTTTATCCTTTACTATATGTTTAAAAAAAAAAAAAAAAAGACAGCCGAATCCGGTTTGGCTCAGTGGATAGAGCTTCGGCCTGCGGACTGAAGGGTCCCAGGTTCGATTCCGATCAAGGGCATGTGCCTTGGTTGTGGGCATGTGCCTTGGGTGTGGGCACATCCCCAGTAGGGAGTGTGCAGGAGATGGCTGATCAATGTTTCTCTCTCATCGATGTTTCTAGCTCTCTATCCCTCTCCATTCCTCTCTGTAAAAAATCAATAAAATATATATTTTTTTTAAAAAGAGACAAAAACAGAACAAAATGCAACAAGAAAACAGTTCATGTTAGAACATAGCAGATTTCCCAGTTAGGACTCAGCGTATTGCAGGGAGTATTGGTTTTAATCATGGAGTCCAGACCAACCTGTAGAATCAGGGAAAAGAACTGACAATTATTTGAACCAAAGAAACTAATAGGTAATTAAAACTCACAAAACAATTAGATTGCCTCATAAACATGCTGAAGCAGAACTAGTTTTTGATGTAGTCTATTGGGGCTTAATAGTAAAAAGCTAACACTGTACCTCTTCCTTCATTTATTCCGTCAGATAATCCAGGTGTAGTGACTCTTTGCCAAAAAAAAAAAAGGGGGGGGGATGGGGGGGAGCAGTGAGGAAGAGCTCACAAAAAAAATTCTTCTAAGGCCGACCAGTGTGGCTCAGTGGTTGAGTGTCAACCTATGAACCAGGAGGTCATAATTCGATTCCCAGTCAGGGCACATGCCTGATATGCTGGCTAAGTCCCCAGTAGGGGACATGCAGGAGACACCCAATCAATGATTCTCTCTCATCATTGATGTTTCTATCTCTCTCTCCCTTTCTCTTCTTCTCTGAAATCAATTCTTCCTAGGCCCTGGCCAGGTAGCTCAGTTGGTTAGAGGTTTTAGGTTCAGTCCCAGATCGGGGGACATAAAGAACCCACCAATAGCCGAAACCGGTTTGGCTCAGTGGTAGAGCATCCGTCTGTGGACTGGAAGGTCCCAGGTTTGATTCCGGTCAGGGGCATGTACGTTGGTTGTGGGCACATCCCTGGTAGGGGGTGTGCAAGAGGCAGCTGTTCGATCTTTCTCTCTCATCGACGTTTCTAGCTCTCTATCCCTCTCTCCCTTCCTCTCTGTGAAAAATCAATAAAATATATTTTAAAAAAAGAAAAAAAAGAACCCACCAATAAATGCATAAATAAGTGGAACAACAAATCCTTGTTTTTCTTCCTTTCTCTAAAATCAATGTTTTTTAAAAAACTTAAAAAAGAATTGTTCCTAGATGCTTACAGAATTCCACTCTTTACTAAAGAAGGAATTTAACAAACAAGCAAAAAAACAGTTAACACTTAGAGGAGGCAAAATATTTGATACAAGAACATCAGGTATACTAATCACTGGAAGTCCTAATAAATTCTATCAACATGAAGAACAACGGGAATGGTTAACTCTGAAGACGCAAATATAGAAACCAAATGGAAAAATTATTTTTTGGAAAGCAAGTTTCAAATAATTTCTCTCTCAGTCCCAACCTCTTGAGAATAATTTTCCTAAGCAAAGGCATAAAACCACTAAAACAACCTGGGGGAAATGACCAGAATGAACACTAAGGAACACCAGATACTAATGAAGAGGAAAGAATCCTCTTAAAACACTTGAGAGAAACCCTGAGAACTAAATGGAGGCTGAGATCAGTTGAGATGATCAGATGGCTTTTAAGCTGCTCTACCCCTGCCCCAGGTTCCCAAACTGGGAAACAGTAATTCTAGAAGGGAATCATTTTAATCCCTCAATAATACCAAGAAAAGAATACTGGTCTAGCCCTCACCAGTTTGGTTCAGCGGATAGAGCGTCACCTGTGGACTGCAAGGTCTTGGGTTCGATTCTGGCCAAGGGCTCAATCCCCAGTAGGGGATGTGCAGGAAGCAGCCGACCAATGATTCTCTCATCCTAGATGTTTCTATCTCTCCCTCTCCATTCCTCTCTGAAATCAATAAAATCATATATTTAAGAAAGAACACTGGTCTAGAAGTTAAATGGCTTAGGTTCACAAACTATCTACCTCTTATTCGCTAGGTAACCTTGTGCTGTTTTTCCTCCTGAGTTAAATGGGAATAAGAATTCCAGTTATTCATCACAGGATTAGCATGAGGATCAATGAGGCTGTATATATATGAAAGCACATGTTGCAAACATTTAATCATTATTATATTTTTTTCCTTTGCATGGCTGATAACAATCTCTCAATTTTATGTTATCATGCTTCAGCCACTATTGGCATTTTTTTTTCTCCACTAAGTTTCCAAACAAAACACTAATCTTTGCTCAATTTAAGCCCACGCCATGGAATCCTTGGCTGCTTTACTTGAAGGACTGGCAAAATTCCACTCCAGGTGGCTAAGCCATAGCAAACAAGGGCTCACTGTTTCATCACATCCTCCCCCGCTCTGTGAATGAGGTTTTCTCCAAATTTAGTGGCTAATTTTGGACTTTTTAAATACTGCTATATTTTCTTCCCCAGCTACAAAACTTTAAAATACCCTAAAAACTAAAATAACAAACATTTTAAAGTGTAAAATTCAAAATGCTTAAATAAAGTTATACCCAGGAAAACAAAATGTAGTATTAGGACCCAGCACTTTAAGATATTAAACCATGCCCTGGCTGGTGTTGCTCAGTGGCTAGAGCATCAGCCCTCATGTGGAAGGATCACAGGTAGGATTCCCAGTTAAGGACACGGACCTGGGCTGCAGGTTCGATCTTTGGCCTCGGCTGGAGGCAACCAATTGATGTCTCTCTCACATCAATGTTTCTCTCTGGGTATCTCTCTCCCCCTCTTTCACTCCCTCCCGACCACCCTAAAACAGCAATGGAAAAAAATCCTCAGGTGAGTATTGCCAACAACAATAAAAAAGATATTAAACCATATCTCTCTATTTATTGGCCCAGACCACACAAATTCTAGCCCTGAGAAACAAAGCAATTTCCAGATTCCTGAGGCTTTCCAAACATGTTCTCTATTTTAATAATAGACTTTATTGTCTTTCATTTTTTAATATTAAACACATGCACACAGCAGGTCATCAAATATTTGCTGAATATGAGACATATTTACATAGAATGCCATCGACAGAGCATGAGTGAGCTGGCTGATCAGCACAGCAGCCAAGCAAAGCTGCAGCAGACAGCACAGCATCAGCTGCGGTTCTGAGAGCTCACACACGAGTCTCTGTACAATTGGATTAAGTCGTCTTTATTGAGATACTAGAGGCCCGGTGCACGGATGCGCGCACCAGTGGGGTCCCTCAGCCTGGCCTGCGAGGATCAGCCGAAACCGGCAGTCCTACATCCCCATGTGGGGAGAATATCAAATAAAATGAACCAAGTGGGGAAAGTATCAATCCAAGTTTTAGAAGACAGTAGAGATGAGGGAGAAGTAGGAAGCTTCATTGGTCCCTCATTCTTTCTTTCCTTTCTTTACCTCCTGATGCTTCCTTCACAAGTGAAGTCCTTACTGAGCTCACCAACGAGGGGCTCTGGGGCCCTTTGAAATACGCAAACCAGACAACGCTATAGGCAAGACGAGGTTGGAATCTTACCTTTTCCAGAATGAACTTGTTTAAGTAGGGCATGTAGCCCTGATTGGAGACGGGCCCCTCGTCGTCATCCCGGAAGTGCTCTTCCAGGGCCACGGGGTCGTGGGGCACCTTCAGCACCGTGCACAGGTTGTGGGAGAGGACCTGGGAGGGAGAGAGAGGGTTCAAGGTCTCCACTAACCAGTCCATGGCACCGTCACCGCCCAAACACAACCGGCTGCTCCCTGCCCGGGGAGAGAAAGGTGGAGAATCAACTAGCAACCGGGGGCAAGAGGGTGAGGACTGCCAGCTGGACTGCCAGCTCCTCACTGGTTACCCAGGAGTGTCTCTCATTCCTCCCCTGGTTGTGGTTCACTTCAAACGAGTCTCTTACATGCCCACACTGAGCTAGGCTCCATGCAAGGCCCATGACTACAGTACCTGCAGTCTTTTATTAATTGTCCCACGTTAGAAAGGAAAAGGGGAGAAAGAGCAAGAGAAAGTGTTCAAAATTAAACTTCTCCCCAAGGAGAGCACGGTCAGTCAATGAGAGCTGTAAGAAAGAGCCTCGGCCCTAGCCAGTTTGGCTCAGTGGGTAGAGCGTTCGCCTGTGGACTGAAAGGTCCCAGGTTCGGTTCCGGTCAAAGGCACATGCCCGGGTTGTGGGCTTGACTCCCAGTAGGGGGCGTGCAGGAGGCAGCTGATCGATGATTCTCGCTCATCATTGATGTTTCTGTCTCCCTCTCCCTTCCTCTCTGAAATCAATAAAAATATATTTTAAAAAAGAAAAAAAGCAAGAAAGAAAGAACGTGGTACTGACTGGGCAGCTGCAGCCGGGGCTCTGGGCCAGGTGCCTGGCCCCTGCCAATCACAGCCTCTCGGGGCCGCCGTTTCCTCATGCGTTCCACAGAAAGGGCCAAGTTAATGCACACACATAGCAAACATTAATCGGTAATCTCCACATGTCCAGACATCTCTAAATCTATGATGTTAAGCTGTTTTCAGCATTAGTATTTAAAAGTGTAAATGTAAAAAGAGAAAGACATCAAGGGCCCCGTTTATAAAAATGGAAGAAGTCAATAGCAAAAATACCTCAGGGCCCTAACCGGGTTGGCTCAGTGGATAGAGCAGTGGCCTGTGGACTGAAGGATCCCAAGTTGGATTCTGGTCAAGGGCATATACCTTGGTTGCGGGCACATCCGCAGTGGGAGGTGTGCAGGAGGCAGCTAATCCATGTTCCTTTCATCGATGTTTCTAATTCTCTATCCCCCTTCCTTCCTTTTTTAAAATACCTCAGGACTTACTAAAAGGGTCAAAGTGGAAAATAAGCATTCCATATGTAAAGGCCTTGGTGACAACCTAAGGAACCACTTTCACATTCAGCTGAATTAGCAGTTTGGAATCTATCTCAACATTAATCTTGATCACATTAAATGAAAATTTTAAAAGAAAACAAACTCCTTTAATGTCATCCGTGCATTCCTATCAGGTCAAATTACACAGCTAAGGCTGTGCTTCCTTTAACAGAGGTTATTACTAAGTGTTAAATCCCAAGGTTAAAATTTCCTGTTTTTCTCACCCCTGCCCATTTAATCACTTAAGAAGCTATAATACATTCATCTCAAAGACTTTCCATTCTATTAAGCAAGTCACGTTTTTCTGCATAAATGTATTTCGGTTGGGATTTTTTTTTTTAAGATTTAAAAAACTGAATCTATAAAAAGAATATTTGCATATCTTCTTTCTACATTTGTTTTGCTTCTCAAAGCTTCATTTCTGTGCAGATCCTTCTCTACACGCTCCACTGGTTTTAAGGAAGTAAGTAAAGTAAAGGAAGTAAGTTCGAAAATGGTTATAAATGAAGTAATGAGGACATTTATCGGCCCCTACAAAGCAGGCTGTGTTTCTCAAGCAAACCCTCTATGTGTAACAGAGCACACGAACAGAGCACGGTGGAGCTTGTACTGAAGAATCTTACCCCACAGTCAGCAAAACCCTAAACAGGTATTTCCTAGTTCTACTTATCTGGTAAGACCTATAAAGTAATTATCTACCTCCAAAGAGATTTTGTGAAGATGAACTTTAAGAATGTAGTGATTAAAAATTGTAATGTACAGGAATATAAGTTTTAGATAAATGAAAAGTATATTTCTCAGATAAGGCTCAAAGGTCATTCAAATTTTAAAATCTTTTGGGGCTTTACCCAAGTAAAAATTTCCCAACCACTGGTTAAATTACAGTCCATTCATAAAACTTTAAGAACAATGAGGAAGCTTGCTATGTCATGATATGAAAAGATGTCCAAGATAAATTAGATGGAAAAAACAAACAAACATCATACCTATGACTATATTAGTATGTCATCTATATGTAAAAGAAAAAGGAAGAAAATATAAGGAACTCCAGGAGGATATATAAGAAACTAGTAACAGTGGGGGAACAGTAGGGGAAAGACTAGTTTGATGTTAGATGAGGGATAAATGACTTTTCACTGTGCCTTCCTCTTTTCATTGTCAAAAAAACCCCCAACTATTCAAAAATATACTACTTATTTGAAAGAGTAAATATATAAGAGCACACAGCTAAATCCATTTATTGTCAAAGTCTATACTTTTTCTTCTTACGTTAACCTACTCCCTAGAGATGAGAAATGAAAGGAAGACATATTCCACAGTAATAACCATGATTAACAGATGAATGAGGTGTAAGGGCAATAAGTTAACTCAGAAAGGAGAAACTGTGTGTGCTACAGTGACTTCCTAGAGGAAGTGAAAAGTAACGTGGGCCTTAAAATAAGGAGAGATTTGGATAGGAAAGGGTTTGGGGGGAATCGGAAGGCTTTCCAGATAGAAGAATATGAGAAAGCAGGTGATTGATGCAAAATCCTCAGGATACAAAAGGGGGCCACCAATCTCTCCCACACTTACCCTGCTCTCTGCTTTTGGGTTTCATAGATCCTCCAACTTAGAGTCTTGGCAGGGAGCCTTGAACACTATATTGTCATCCTTGTTACCTGACAGCTGGTGAGGACTGGCCAAAGAGATTCCACTTGTTTTTCTTGACTAAGGTTACGGCACCTAGCAGAACTGAGACTAAAACTCCAGTCTTTTCAATCCCTAGTGCCACTTCTCTAGTAATAAGGAACATCACGTTTTTCGTAGGTAGGTAGTTCAATTCATTGACCCCACTGGAAAAGATTTAGCTTTGAACTTCAGACTTCAGCCTTGGACAGTAAGACGGTACTTTTGTTAAGTACAGAGATAGCTGGTCCTTATAGCAACAAGGACCCTATGAGAGGAGACCTGAGTGTTGGCCTGTCACATGGTCTGTTCCCGTTCAGTGGTCTGCCATTTTCCCTTCCTGAAATATTTTAATATTTTGCTACTTAATCACTTGGTCTCTGTATATCCACTGCAAAATGAGGAGTTGGATTTGTCTCTAAAATTTTTAAAGCTCAGTTCTTAACTGTCAACCCACACATGTTTCATGAATTCAACAAAAAAAAAAACTATATAATTTAGATCAGAAATTCATCTTTCTTCATTGTTAGTAAGGCCTAGAATAGGGACATCTTCTTCAAACAAAACAACAGACTGAAGAAGAATAAGTAACTGAGAAGGTTTTGTTACTACGAGAGAGAAAAATGTGTGCTACCTTTAAAACTTTTTTAGTTTTTATCAGCATTTTCTTTAACAAGTCTAGATAGTAGGTCAAGTTTTTCTTAAATAAAATGTATCAACAGCCGAAACCGGTTTGCTCAGCGGTAGAGCATTGGTCTGCGGACTGAAAGGTCCCAAGTTCGATTCCGGTCAAGGGCATGTACATTGGTTGCGGGCACATCCCCGGTGGGGGTGTGCAAGAGGCAGCTGGTCGATGTTTCTCTCTCATTGACATTTCTAGCTCTCTATCTCTCTCCCTTCCTTTCTGTAAAAAATCAATAAAATATATTTAAAATAAATAAATAAATAAAATGTATCAACAAACCAAAATCTTGAAGGTCAGAATAAAAACTAGTCACAAGACGCAAACACTCTATAAGCTTCAACAGCTGTTGATGCTAATTTTTTAAAATATATTTTTATTGATCTCAGTGAAGAAATGAGAGGGGGAGAGGGAGAGATACATCAATGATGAGAGAGAATCATTGATCGGCTGCCTCCTACATACCCCACACTGAGATGGAGCCCAAAACCCGAACATATGTACCTTGACCAGGAATTGAACCAGGACCTCCTGGTTCGTAAGACCACGCTCAATCACTGAGCCACGCCAGCCAGGCAATATATCCCACTTTAAATGCCTGTTCCTCCAAAGACCATTCTTTTAGCGCCCCTGTGACTGCTAAGCAACTTTGCTCTCATTCCCCTGATTTGAAGAATAAACTACGGTTACTACAAAAGATCCATAACCATGCCAGACACTCGTCTCTCCAGCTCCTTCCTAGCTGTCTGCTGCTCTGCAGGGCCTGGGCTGACAAGAGATGACTAACTAGCGGCATAAGCCCAGCTCGTGTGGTCTGTTCCTGTTCGGTGGTTTGCCATTTACCCTTATTTTAAGCAGTTTGCTCCAACTCTCATGAAAACGAAATCAAGCATGATGAACAGCTACCCGTGTCTTAACACACAGGAGTGCATAATGTTCACCCTCCTCCCTCCCAAAGATGCAGAGATGATAAAGGTTCTCTGAGTGTGCCCCCCCAGTCACAGTTTCCCCTTACAGGATGTGCGTAATGGGCAGAGCTCAGCACTGGAAAAGAGGGGGGTGGAGGCCTCTATTTCAACAAGCTTATCTGAACGGACACAATCATAGGATTATAATTCATAATGGGCAACCTTTTTTTACAACATGAAAATTCCTTTCTGATTTACAAAATCTCAAGCGAATGGCCAATTACCAGAAAACGCTTCCTAACAATGAGCCAGAATGACCAATTTCCTACCAGTGCCAGGCCCTGCCTGAAGGGCATTGTCTTAACAGAAGTCCCGCCCCTTATCACGTGGAGTCATTTTCCTTTCCTGATAATATCCTTCCTCCTGCTGGTCACTGCTGAAGTCCTGCTTGCTTGCTTTAAGTTCGGGTTGGGGCAAAAGTAGGTCTACAGCTGTGAGAATGTGAAACACAATGTTAGTGTTTATTAATTACTGTTTGTATGGAAAATAATACAA